GAAAACCCATATATTGTGTTTATTAAATACTTAACATTGCACTTATGTGTCAGTGTTCTAAGCACTTACAGCTCTTATAACTACTTCATTTCCACCCAATGACCCTCTGAAGTAGGTTCTGCTTATTATATCTCCTTTAATAGATGGGACTGAGGCAGAGTGGTGGAGCTGGGGTTTGGATCTCGGCAGCCTGGCCTAAGTCCTTGCTTGCCACCCCTCTGCCACCTCTCTTGGGTGCCATTCCAAGACTAGGTGAGGCGATGAGGCTGCCTGATGGACACAGGCACCTGGAAGGGTGTGGCTAGGAGTGCTGCTCAGCTGTGCTGATTGGAGTGGGCTTGGCTGGGAAAGGTCAGATTATGCCCACACCCGTGTTCCAGTCTTGGGAAGCCTGCAAGGGGACACCCACTTACTGAAATAAGAGATGTAGGAAGAGGAACAGAAGGATGGCCTTAGTTTGTGGCCTGTTCATTAGGGGAAATGTCCACGCTACAGGATACTGCCTGGAGAGCAGGGACTGGTAAAGAAGCCCAGCTTAAGGGCTCTTAGGAAAATCAGAGATGGGGTGTTTGACTGCAGCTGCGTGTAATAACTATAGGAAATGGTCACTTTGCCACAGAGGGATAGACAAAATGCCACTAGCCCCAGTGACCTTACTTCAGCAAGTTTCCTTTCTACAGCAAGCTGCCTCGTACTCAGCCAGATGGCACCAGTGTCCCCGGAGAGCCAGCCTCACCCATCTCCCAGCGCCTGCCCCCCAAGGTAGAATCCTTGGAGAGTCTCTACTTCACCCCCATCCCTGCTCGGGGCCCAGCCCCCCTGGAGAGCAGTCTGGACTCCCTGGGGGAACCCTTCCTGGACTCAGGCCGAAAGACGCGCTCTGCTCGAAGGCGTACCACGCAAATCATCAACATCACCATGACCAAGGTCAGGTTGCTGGGAGTGGGGCTCTAGGGCAGGAATGTACACTTCCTCCTCTCAAAGGAGTCTTTCCATCGGGTCCTCGAGTACGTGCAGGGATGACCAGCCAGTCATGTGGTACAGATGAGAAAGGTGAGATCTTGAGAAAGCCAGTGACTTTCTTAGGGCCTTTTCTGTAGGAAAGGGCAGGGCTGGAATTTGCCCATCTTCTGACCGGAAGGCTGGTATCCTCCCTTGCATGGTGCTGGTTCTGTGCAGGCTGAAGGGTTGAATAGGGGAAGTTGCAGCCCAGCCCCCTAGCAGACTAATGCCAGGCTTAGGGTTCCTGCCCTTGTTTTTATCTCTGGGAGGTAGAGAAGGAGAGGAAAGAGGTGCTTTGCTGCAGCATAGAGGGCCTCTCTGTGCAGGGTGCCTCTGCTACGAGAAAGCTGGAGAAATTGTGGAAGATGGCTGGGACCTCAGGAACGTGGGACTAGGGAGTGGAGGCTGTGGCCAAGCCTGTTTAGCTTAGGAGACATGGGTTCTAGCTCCAGCTCAGCCACTTCCTAGCTGTGTGACTTGGGGTTAGTCACCTCACTTCTCTACAGGTCACCCCTGAAATGAGCTAACTCTACCTTTCCTCCCTCAAAGTGTTAATGGACTTAATGAACAAAATAGAAGAGTCTTGACAACCATAGCACCCTGTGAGGGCTTCTGGCAATAAGGCCCCATCTGGAGATGAGCAAGCTCGGGACCCTCGCCCACCACATGCACCCATGCTGGGGGCCTCAGTGATTATGTGTGTTGTGGGGGGATGGTTGAGAGGTGGCCTTATACTGTCAGGACTCCCTATCCCCTGCAACAACTCCTTCTGTCTTCCAGAAGCTAGATGTGGAGGAGCCAGACAGCGCCAATTCATCTTTCTATAGCACTCGGTCTGCCCCTGCTTCTCAGGCCGGCCTTCGAGCCACTTCCTCTACCCAGTCTCTAGCCCGCCTGGGCTCTCCAGATGATGGCAATTCGGCTCTGCTCAGCCTGCCTGGCTATCGGCCCACCACTCGAAGCTCTACTCGCCGCTCCCAGGCGGGGGTGTCCAGTGGAGCGCCACCAGGTGAGGGAACCGTAGGGACTTAACTACACCCAGAAATTTGAGTGGAATGGATCCTGGCACAGAGGAGAGGCAACCTTTTAAAAGTCTGAGCGGGCTTCCTGCACCAGCACACCCATTCCCTTCCCTGTAGCCTCAGGGCCTGTCCTTCTAGGGCTGTGCTGAGAAACTTTAACCCAGGATACTTGTAAGGGGCCTGAGATGCCCGGCATGGTAACACCTGTCAGTTCTCTGGTGGTGAGGGGATGCTGGAATGGCTCCCTACATTGCTTCCTGGCTCTCAATTAGATTCTCTTGGTGTGGGGCACCACCAGCCCTCAGCAAGTACGTAAGGTATTGTACTTCGCTTGGTATATGAGCTCTGCTGGGAGATAGCTGTTAGGAGTCTTCATGATAGAAACAGTCTGTGTGCCCCACTGCTGTCCCTGCAGCACTGAATCAGAGCAGGACTGCTACAAGCCTGGGTTAAGAGGAAGGCAACGTTGGCAGCAAATTCTGGCAAGATCCTAGGGCCAGTGGGCAGTATGCCAGTTCCAGTCCCACTTGTTCCAACACCCCTGCCGTCCCCAGGAAGGAACAGCTTCTACATGGGCACTTGCCAGGATGAGCCTGAGCAGCTGGACGACTGGAACCGGATTGCAGAGCTGCAGCAGCGCAACCGAGTATGCCCCCCACACTTGAAGACCTGCTATCCCCTGGAGTCAAGGGTGAGGCCTGGGGTCACTGTGCAGGGCCTCCGGTACTGGGTCCCTTCCTCCCTTGGCTTCTCACCTCACTGCCACTGCTGATGGAGCCTGAGCACTAGTGTCTGCTGGGCAGGGGGACCGCACACTTCCAGGTGAAATAGTCAGCAGCTTTAGGAGCTCAGTAGCTTGAGAGAAGTGTGCTCAGGACTCCTGGCCATTTGTTCAGGGTGTAGGTAGAGAAGAGACTACGAAGGGAGGCCTCTTAAGGTAGGAAGGGTCCACCTGCTCCAAGTGTCAGGTATGAGGGGAGACCTCAGGCAGCTGGTTCCTGTTCCATGTCCATACAGCAGGGGTCTGCTGACTGCTGCTTCCACCCATACAGCCCTCCCTTGGCCTGGCCACCATCACAGATGAGGAGATGAAAACCGGAGACCCTCAGGAGACTCTGCGTCGAGCCAGCATGCAGCCAGGCCAGATTGCTGAGGGTGCTGGTATCACCACCCGGCAGCAGCGTAAACGGGTGTCCTCAGAGACCCACCAGGGTCCTGGCACCCCCGAGGTGGGTGACTGTTGGTGTGTTTTATCCAGCACAGTGCCAGCTCACAAGCCTGAGAAGTGGGAAAGTTTGTCTCCAAGGGCTGTGAGGGGATAGGACTGTGGGGAAGGGAGGCTTGTGGCTGAGTTGGGGAGGGCAGAGATTGACTGTAAGCCCACTCAGCTCTGAGAAGCCAAGGCACATGGCTTGGGATGTGATGTCTTCTTCCCCATAGTCTAAGAAGGCCACCAGCTGTTTCCCACGGCCTATAACTCCCCGGGACCGACATGAAGGGCGCAAACAGAGCACTACTGAGACCCAGAAGAAAGCAGTTTCAGCCGCTAAGCAGGTTAGGCTGGGGTGGAAGGGAGCAAAGGAGCCTTCCTGGTAGAGCCCTGGAGCAGCATGGAGAAGATAGTGGCTTGGAAAGATAGTGGACTTCTCACTGAGACGCCTTCACTCCCCAGGCTGATCGGCGCCAGTCAATGGCTTTCAGCATCCTCAACACACCTAAGAAGCTGGGGAGTAGTCTTCTTCGGCGAGGGGTCTCAAAGAAGGCCCCAGCCAAAGCCTCCCCCAACACCCGAAGTGGAACTCGCCGCTCTCCACGCATTGCCACCTCCACAGCCAGTGCCGCCACCACCACTCCTCGGGCCCGGGGCAAGGTAGGGGCCCTGCAGGGAAGGGAAAGGGAAACCCAGTGAAAGCATGGGTCCCCCCAGATCACCCATAGGGCGGCATCCAAGGCAGGCCAGCCAGGCCACTGGAGGTTGGGGGAGTGACAAGGAGGTGTTCCCTTGACTGGTTAGCAGCTTATTATTAGAGAGGAGACAGGTGACCCTATTCCCACTGAGAGCACCCAGAGATGCTTAGGTATTACCGAGCCATGTGACTGTCTTGTCTCTTCCAGGCAAAGCACTAAGGGCCAGTAGCAGTGAGAGGCTCCACCTGTGTTCCCAGTGTTGACCTCGCCTGGTCCCTTTCCTTCTGTTCCTCTCAGTGCCTTCTCTCAGCTTCCAGGCCAATGGTGGCCAAACCCCTAGAGACAGTGATGCCTACCCACACCCTGGCCTGGTACCTGGACCTTCACTGGCGCCTTCTCTGGCACGTTCCAGAGCTGGCCCAAGAGGCTTGGAACTTGGACAGTATGGGACCCTCTCCCTCCCTTGTCTCCTGATCTTACCTTGGAGCTAAGTCACTTACTTCTCCATCATAACCAGATTTGAGGCTGGCTATGAGTGGCTGGATCCTTGGGCCCAGCCAGTCTTCCTCTCAGCCTCTGGATCTAGAAGGGACCACTGGAGGAGCAGGCTCCAGTTCCTGCAGCTGGTGGCTTGGCCTAGCAGAGGCCCTTGCTCTTGCAGCCCAGGATTGGGCACAACCTGATGTGAGCCCCTGTCCCATCTGCTCCCCTCCACCTAAGGATACAGCTGCCCAGAAGATGGTAGGACAGACAGGTCCTGGATCTCTGGGGCAGGAGGGGCAGCCTTCAATAGCAGCTCATACCCCACCTTCCCCAGAACTGCACTGGGGTGGGATTTGGAGTAATGGGAAGGTTTTTAAGGGCTGGGGATGGATCTTTTCTAAAATGTTATTACTTGTAAATAAAGTCTATTTTTCTCCCTGGAGTGTTGACCTGCCTGATCTGTACAGGAAACGGTGGGAAATCTAGGGTCTTTTAAGCCTATCTTTATCCCTGAGGAGATGTTTAGACCACCTTGCTTCTCTCATCCTTTACTTTGGGGACCATTTTTCCTCCAGGATCTTCCCACCTTCCATTTCTGGCCTCAGTTCTTGAGAATTGTGGGCTGCTGTTCTGTTTTTTTAAAGAACCTGAGTTCCTCTGAATCTGGTTCATCTTTGGCTGTTAAGTGGCAATCCTGTACTGTCCTCCCTCCCTCCCTCCCTCCCTCCTGTGAGAGGAACTGAGGCCTAAATGACTGAGCAGATACCCACATGCCTCTGATGAATCCTTTATGAGGGCTCACTGCAGGCCCCGTTGAGAATGACAGGTACACTTAGGGATCAGAAGCAGCCGCTGCTCCTTTCTCTGGGACAATTCATTTCAGTGAGAAAAACTGTACAACGTGAGTTAGTGCAGAGTGTAGATGTCTCTTCACCCAGCCTTCCGGGCTCACCTGGTGGGATGGTGAGGAAGTAAGAGCTGTCTAGGAATAAGGAAGGATCTTTGCAGCCCTCTGGATAGTCATGCTGGGAATATAGGCAGGGCCTGTGCATGCTGGGCTAAGGCACTGACAGGTCTTAAGGTTTCTGAGCAAGATAGCAGTGTGACAAGAGTAGGGCTTTAGGGCCGAGGATTTAGCTCAGTGGTTTCACCGCCTGCTGTGCAAGCGCAAGGACCCAAGCTTGATCCCCAGTACCAAAAAAACGTAGGGCTTTAGAAGAGTTAATGGCACAAGTAGAAGGGCGGGCAAGAGGGTGCAGCACTGAAGGGCAGTTAAATTTTTCTAGGCAGATGGGAAGGGGCTGCTTGCCTGCACAGCCTATGGCTGTCGGAGACCTCCCCCTCCAGGTGGGTAGGACCCAGGCTCTGGCCGGGGTCATGCTTTTGCTGGCTTGTGCTGACTTGACCCTGCTGATGTGGGCAGCAGGGACCCTGGGCTGTGGCTGGAAGGCAGGGCTTGTTGAGAGGGCAGGCTTATCCTCAGCCCATCCTGGGGACTTGAGGACAGAGGATTCAGAGCCAAGAGTGGTGGGACATCTGGTCGCTTTCATCCAGGCCATGCCTCCCCTGCCAGAGTCTGAAGTTCTTTTTTGCTTGGACCTCAGGCTGGCCTTAGGCAGTGGTGGGCATTAGCTTAGTGGCTGTCCTGGCAGAGTCCACCCTTTTCTCCTACACAGAAGCTGAGCTGCTCTTGTTTCTGGAGGCCTCCCCTCTGTTTCTCACCCAGAGCTGGGCCAGGAGGACGTGACCCTGGGCAACCTGACCAGGGCCTGCAAATACACAGGAATAATTGGTGCTTCGAAGGGCAGGGCTCAGCTCCTTCAGCACCAAGGCCTTCCACAGCCAGGTGCTTGTGCTCCCACGCTCCTGGCTGGAGTAGGGAAGGAAAAGTGAGGGCTGTAGGGCAAGGCCTTCCTCCCACTGGTACACTGGTATACTGGTCCGGCTAGGACCCTCACCTGGTGCTGCACTCCCTCAGCTGGCCTGGGAGGTGCTCAATGAGGGAGCCATTGCCCAGCCAATAGAGGATGCTGAGGTGAGGGAAGTGGCTGCAGACCATACAGGACAAGGTCAGTGTTTCATCTGAGGACACACAAGGCTGTTAGCCCTACTCTAGAACGTGCCCTCCCTGCTGCCCTGCTCACCCACCAGCTCCCCACAGTTGAAAGAACCAGGAGCCTAGAGTACCACCTGGATACTCCACCCAGGCAGGAGTCTGTTAGGTGGAAAGTACAGAGAGGCCTGAGCCCTGAGCACAGGGAATTAGGGGAAATCTCCTTGGTTCATGTGATGATTCAGCTTCTGAACCTTTTCCTCGGGATAACCTTTTGTAGTGCTCTGATTCTAGAAGCCCAGGCCAAAGGGCAGTGTGAGCAGCCTGATGTTCCCAAGATGGCCTGAGGACAGGCAGGCTCTGGGGAGAGGGTCACCAAGGCCCTCAGATGTCCTCTGGCCACCTCTCAGGTTTGAGTTTCCTTTGATAGGTATCAACTTGGGAGCTGGGTCCTGAGTCCACACCCATGATACTGGGTTGACGGGGGTGAAGAGAGCACTCAGCCAACTGGCCTGGTAGCTGATGCATGGCAGGTGGGAGGTTCACTTCAGAGTCAACTCAACCTTGACCCTCTGGGCCCACAACCCAGCCCCTGACCAGTGTCCTCCTGGGCTCCCATCATAATTGCTCCTTACTCAGTGGCATTTCCACCTCTGGCTAGATCACCTCCAATGCTGGGCATGGCTCAGTTGTTGGGAGCGCTGGGGGTGAGGAGGGGCAGGGGTCTTTTGAGATCGCAGCTGAGGCAGTGGCAGCTATGATGATCTGAGATGTAGGTGTGGCTCTGGCCAGGAGAGTGACGGTGTGGGAAGCAGGACCCACAAAGAGGAGGAGTCTGAGAAAAGGACAGTCACAGAGGTCAGCCGGTGACTGAGTTGCCTGGCAGTGCTTTTATCTTGAGCAGATACTGTTGCTGCCTAGTTAAGAGTATAACTCCAGCCCAGAGGTTCCTGGGCACTGGGCAGGAATCAGGGGACAGAGGCCCCTGAGCCCACAGAGGACCTGGGAAAGGAGCCAGTGTTTGCTTCACAGGGCGGGGCTCAGGTTCCCCAGTGCCAGGCCCTCCACAGCTGGTGCTTCTGCTCCCTGCTGGAGCACAGGAAGATAAAGTAGTGAGAGGGCTAACGCATAGCACACTGCTGAGCTCACCCGGGGTGAAGGCAGAGCTACCCATTACTCCATTCTGTTCACAGACCCCACCACCCCACCACGCACAGCCCCACGTCCCACCTGGTGTCCAGTTCTGTCCCACGGTCAGGATACATGTGTCAGGAGCTGGCAGGCCTGGCTCTATATATCTGTGACTTGACTTCCTCTCAGCCTGAGAAAGGGGAGACCAACTACTCTTACCATTTTCTCAGTAACTCCTCCTTCCTATAAATCCCACAGCTGCCCCAGACATCTGAACACTCAGTGGGCTGCCAGGCACTTATGTTTATTCTGTCTGTATGTCACATCAAGTCTCAGAGGACAGGCCTCTGGCACAGGCTAGATCTACAATCTTGCATGCCCCAGGTCTTACTAATATAATGGCTACCTCATCCAATCTTACCCCTTCATTAAGGCCGGGAAACCGGCCCAACGGAGGGCCAGGGGCTTACTTAATTATATAGGAAGGTGATGCTCTCTCCACTGGGCAGAGCTTGTTCTGGGAAGGGCAGGATACAGCAAACTCCTGGGAAAGTACTGACCACTTCTCATCTCATCATTTTCATTTTTAGGCCCCCCACCCCCACCCCAGGATTGAGCCCAGGGCCTCACACATTAGGCAAGCATTCTACCACCAAGCTACAGCCCCAGCCCTCATTTTTTATTTTGAAACAGGGTCTCAGTTGAGATACATCCCTACCCCTCATTTAAGTTTTGGGACAGGATCTCACTAAGTTACCCAGGCTGGCGTCAAACTTGCAATCCCCCTGCTTCAACCTCTGGAGTAGCTTGAGATTGCAGGCTTGTGTCACCATGCCTGGCTCACTTTCACTTTTGTTCTAACCGGGGAATTCAGAGCAGACACTGACAGGGCAGCTGCTGCATCCTCTTCAGTTGATGCTCACAGTGGCCAGAACCATCCTGTTAACTCCCAGGCCCTTCATCTCCACATGCCAAACTGGGATCTTTTATCTCCCCCGCCCCTCAGACACCTAGGGTATGAACTAGATGTGTCTATCAAAGAGCAATTTTGTCTTGGCCAAGGATCAGACCTGATGTCGTCCTCCAGTTTTCAAAGCTGCCCGTTTCCCATGTGAGCAGGCCTCTCTCTCTGCTCCTTTCACATTCATACTGACAAGGAGACAACATTCCTAGGCACGAGGGACCCAAAGCTGGATCACCGTGACCATCTGAGGCTCAGGGCCACACCAGCTCATCGATATCCTGGCCTTCCTCACACTCCCTACTCTCCCCAGCCCCAAGGCCCCAAATAAACTGCGTCGCCCAACAGCCACCATCATACCTACAAACCCTTCCCACTTGTCTTGTCCTAGCTGCTTTGGCCAGAGCTACAGGTCTAGGGGTCACTAGTAGGTCTAGACTCCCACTTTCTAGCTCCCAAGAAATCCCGAAGAGCCCTACTTTTGAGAAGCTCGCTTCTGGGGGCTCTCAAGCTCAGTGGAGCTGTGTCTAGTCCCATGTGCCATCCCACAGGAAATACACCAACAGCACTTTCCCACCCCATTTGCAAGACCTCTCAGCTGAGATCTTAACACAAGCTGAAAGGGCCCCTAAAAGGATAGGAAGGAGCTGCTTAGAGAAGCTGCAGTGACCCAGCACTGGCTCCAGCACCTCAGAGGCAACATAAACACGTTACTCTGGTTACTGAGCAGGACTAGGCAGAGCTCACTCTTGGTATCTGGACAAGAGCTGTGTGTCTGGTTTGTGCTCTTTTTGGTACTGGGGATCAAATTCGGGACCTTGAACTTGAAAGGCAGGCGGTGGAACCACTGAGCTAAATCCCTGGCCCTGGTTTGTGCCTTTTGTTATCAGAAGAGCAGAGCTGGTGATGAGAGCCAGGGAGGCCAGGAGATAGACTGGGCTTAGTGGATGCATTAGAAATTTAGACACAAAGAAGAGCCTAAAAGTTACATCCTGTTCTCTAGGTGTCTAGTTCACATTTCTGGTCCTCTCTGTTCCTCCCTCTCCTCCCACCTGAGGCTCCTAGGTTGCAGGGGAAACTCCCTAGGAACCCCAGTATTTCTAGGAGTTAAGCCCGGAGGCGAGGCAAGGGTTTCTGAGCCACAGTCCATTGGGGAGTGGGTGGGGTGGCAGGGGAGGAGCTAGGACTACCAGAGTGTAAATGAGACCAGAGGTGGGCCACTGCAAGGTTGTGGACTGAGAACTTCTAAGTATGAAAAAAACAGCCTTGGCCTCAGCTTCTCACGAGCCTCACATGGGGATGGGGAGACAGAAGTGAAAGGAAGGATGATCTCTAGCCCCTTTGCCCAGTCCCGATTCTCCTTCCTGAGGAAGGGCCCACAGGTGGCAAGAGCCGTGAGGTACCATGGGCAGGGAAGCTGTGGCTGAGTACACTGAGGAGGGTGGGGGTGGCAGGGCACTGGCCAGCCCAGTGATGGCCCCAGAGCCCCTCATCCCTGGCCTTCCACCACTCCCAGGAATGCTGGGAGGGAACAGTGGAAAGGCAGTGGCAGTCACCTCCAGGCCCCAGCTCTCAGACAGGGGCAGTAGAGGCAATACAACCCTGGGGACCCAAAAGAAAGGTGGAAAGAAGAGAAGCAAGATGTTGTTCAGCTTTCCAACCCAGCTCATGGAGCTTTATTCAGATGAGAGTGACAAGACCCTGCTTGGTTCTCTGTCCTTGAAGGGGTAGACCCTGTTGGACCCGATTCCCTAGGAACCCAGTGCCCACAGCCCTCCCACTTCAAAACTCCCAGGACCAAGGCTGAGGCCTGCCTGGAAGCCCCTTTTTAGAACCTGTATTCACCTAGGCCTTATCCTCCTTCCCACACATCCACCATTCCTGTTGTGAGGGGCAGAGAGAGCCCAGGAATGATGACATTCACACACGGATACCTCCTAGGCTGAGAATACCCTACTAGCTTCAAAGGCAAGCTGTCTGCTGACTGGGAGAAATAGACATCTGTCATAGCCAGTTCTTCTGCTATGCATGCACATGTATGCACACGCATGTGCACACACAAACATTCCTCGTCACCCTTTCAAGAAGGAAGTGATATGGCAGTGACCTTTGGCACATCACCACTTTCAGGCCAAAGGATCAGCTTTCACAACAGGCTCTCTCTCAGTCATTGCTGCTAAAAGTTGTCTCCTCAGCTCAACTATATATAGATGGTCTCTATTCTTGGCTGACCCCAGCCCTGCTCAGGGGCAGATTTCCCATGTTGCTGATTCTTCCAGTTGTCCCAAACACATCGAGGCCCCAGGACTTCCCTTGATGAAAAAGTCACTGATGAAGCTGCCACTTGCCTCACCCAGCCTTTAGCTCCTGGACAGTGTCTCCTGGGGAGACAGACAACACTCATCCTATACCCCAGATGGGGTGGAGGGGAAGATACCTCATCCCTCAGTGCTCAACTGTGCCACTAGTCTTGAGTTCCTCAGCTCTTCCAAATGGGGTGGCCTAAGCTTGAGCCCTGCAGAGGGAAAGAAGGGGGGTGGGTGTGCTGAGGCCCCCAGCTACCTGAGAACCCACCAGTGCTCTCAACCAAAGGTGAGAAGGCTCCTTTAAACCAAAAATCTCAAGGCTCTGCTCCCAACCTGTCAGGCAGGGTGAGGCCTGGAGGGGGGCAACTCCTATGTTCCACAATAAAAAAGGTGGTTTTTTTTAAATATATTCATCAAAATAGTTTTCTTTTAAAAATCCCCCCACTGCTGACAGCCCCACTGCTGGCTCTCCATCACATCCCTCCCCACGCTGGACACAGCCAGGGGGGTCCTGAGTGGCCCAAGCACCCTTTTGAGTCTTTTCCACCCAGGAGGTCTTTGTGGGCAGGGAGGAGAGCGCCCTGAGGTCCATAGTGGGTGGGGTGGGTTCTCCATTGATGCAACTTCCCAACTACTCCAGGCCCAGGATGTAGTTGATGCCCTGCACCAGGCCAATGATAACAGGCTGCCAGGCTACCAAGTATCGAAGCCAGTCCAGCAGCTGCCCATACATGACGTGAGGCCTCTCCCAGCTGTCAGGGTGTTAAGGATCAGAGGCTATGTCCAAGAGCTGCTGAGTTTGTCTAGCACTGGGAAGGGGTTCCCAGACCCTCCTAGGTCTGCCCATACTTTCCAACAGCTCAACAGCCTTCAGGAAAGACAGCTACCCAGCCTCTCTTCAGCACTCCTTGTGGGACGAAGGGCTGACCCCAGAAAACAGGGGAAAAAGCCGGGACTGATATGACAGACAGGAAAGACATGGGGTGAAAGAGCTCTCTGTGACCAGCATCACAGGGCCTCATGTGATACTTTCTCTAGGATGGGCCAGCAAGTGTGAGGAGACATAGCTTGGAATTTAGATACCCTGTAAATGTGTCCAGAACTGATGGCTTTCTGTCAAGAAAGGGATTGATCTGGAGTCAGAGCCTAAAGGGAACAGGGACAAAGGGCTAATCACAAGGGGATCTCCCCTGGCAAAGGCTCTAAGGAGGTGCCATCCAGAGCACTAAGCACTAGATCCTACTGAGGCTAAGTTGCTCTGGAGGTAGTCTTGGAGATGTCATCTCTGAGGGAAGCTCAGGGACAAGCCCCTGAAGCTGTGGGTGACCCTTCCAGAGCATCAAAAAGATCAGCCTGGCTCTGTTGTCTGAGAGCTAAGGGAAGCCCAAGCCTTAGCTTGGCCATGGAATTGTAATTGTCCTTGAATCAGGCCCTAGAGGAATCAAGCAGGAAATGTGAAAGGGTAGAAGGCCAGAATTTCCTGTTCAGGGATGTGGGAGTGCACTAGGAACACAATGTCCCCTGTACAGCCCAGCTAGTGTATAGAAAAAAGGGACAGGAACTGTGGAGAAAGGGCAGCTTGGAAAGAAGACGGGAGAATGCTGGGACTTGGACCTCACAGGAAGTGGGGACTTCCTAACAGACAGGTTGTAAGGAGGAAGAGAATGGTGTGGGCTGGCTGGGCAGGAAGTGGTAGCTCAGAGGAGCACTGTCCTGCACTGAAAGTGGATGGAGCCAAGGGGTCCCTCACCTATGTGTATGCCTTGCAGGCCCGGCTCATGCAGAGCTGCTCTCTCGCTGTATGTCATGGGTAAGATATCACCTATTAGTTAATCTTGTTTGTTTGGTTTTTTGGTACTGGGAATAGAACTCAGGACCTTGCACTTGCCAGGCAGGCACAGTGCCACTGAGCTAAATCCTGGCCCTCTGAGCTATATCCTGGGCCCAGCTATTAGTTAACCTTAAACAAGATTCCCAGACTCTAAACTGTTTCATTTGTAAAATGAGGGTATTATCCAGGTCATAAAGTTGCTAGGGAATCAAATGAGTAGATATAAGTGAAATACTTAACAGAGTGCCAGCCACATACAGTAATCAAAGAGAAAATGGTAGCTGCTATTCCTATCAATTTATGAAGGGAAGTTGAGTTTCTAGTCCTATGTCACACCCACAATTTCCCCAGAACAGAAGCCAAGCTGAATGGCAGACATGTTCCAAGTTGGGAGTAAGAGGGAGGGCCCCAAGAGGCTCAGATACAGGGTCACACTGGTCAGTAGTTTTTTCTCTCCACCCACTCCCAACAATGAGCCAAACAAAGGATACGGATTGCTGAACATCCTCTTCAGGTCTACTTTCTCTTTGCAGTAGGGACATGTCTGCTTCTTTCCCACAATGCACCAGCCGCGGATACAGAACTCGTGGAATCTGAGCACCATGCATCAAGGGAAATGGTGAGAAGCGAGGATGACATTTCAGCCCCATGCTGATCTGCAAGGTGCTTGTAGGCCAGATCTGGAGAAAGGTTCAAATCCTGGCTTCATTTCTTCTCAACCTTGTAATTTTGAGCAAATCACTTTTCTCAGAACCTGTTTCTTCACATGTGAAGTGAGGATAATGATTTGCATATTATGGAGCTGTTACAGGGCAGAATGGAGATAACACGTGGATCTCCCAACACAGGTATGGAATGGCAGCTGAGTAAATACATGATAAATTTTAGAACCATTACTCAGAACAGGGGATTTGATTCTAAACTAAGGGAATCCATTCCCCTCCGGGATCTTTTTCCCCTGTGACATCCACCCTTGGGTCAGCTAGCACAGCTTCACTAGCTACAGCCGTGGGTTCTCTGTGACCTAGGCAATTTGTAGCCACTGTTTACACACACAGGGCTCCAGCTTTCCTGCCCTCGAGTGGCTCTCTTTCACTCAAAGGTCTGGGTGGCACACCTAGGTTCACAACCAATCCCTTCCCTCCCTGATTAATGCAGTCATAGGACAGATGTGGCCTGGGTACTGAAAGCAGGATACACATGATTGCAGGACAGCCTGTACGTGTTTTCGATGATGCCCTCTTCGCTGACGTCCACAAAGATTTGCTGCCCACACACGGCACACACGCTGTCAGAAAGGTGTTTGGTAGGCATGCCTGACTCACTGTAGAACTGGAGAACAGAAGGGAAAGACAGCAAAAGCTATGAGAACTGCTTGAGTGGGAAGGCATCAGAGAGGCCTGCAGTCTTCTGGAGAGCATTCACAGTGACAGGGGGAATTAGAGGACATCTTTTATAAGACCAGTGAAATTCATCTTTACTGGGTAGATGGGCAGAAAGCGGACGGACCAGAGACAGGATGGGAAGTTAGATGTCACAGGATCTGAAGGCTGGGCTGAGTCAGTCCAGGTACAAGAGCAAAGAAAGGGCAAACTTCTCAGAACCAATGATCAGGAGCTATGCCAGGTAAGCCATTCTGTGGCCAAACTGGTTCCATCAGAGATGGACAACATCATTCTCCAATGAAATACTGGGTATGATGTTAGTCTGGTGACAAGAGCATTTTCAGACATTTGTGGCAGCAGCAAAGGAAGTTCAGCCCTTTTGGGTAACATTTGGCAGGATGTCCCAAACTGTCACACCCTTTAATCCATTAATTTCACTTCAAGGAATTTAAAGAAATAAATGGAAATGTCAAAAATGCTTGCTGCACACATATTCATTTAAACATTATTTATAATTACAAAAGCAAAGGTTTTGGCATTTCCTTTAAAAGTTAAACAGAATTATCATATCATAGTTCTATTCCTAGGTATATACCAAAAAGATGTGAAAACAATAACTAAACAGACACGTAAATGACAAGGCTAACAGTAACTTGGTGGTAGAGTGTTCATCCACTACAAACCAGGCAGTTGTTGAACTGTAAACAACAAAAAAATTAGCAGCAAGATGCTGGGTTCAATAACTAGCACTACAAAAACAAAGCATGCAAACAAACAAAATTAAGTACTAAAAGTAGGGTATAAAATTGGATGCATTGTATGATTGGTACAATACATAAAGATGAGGCCAAATATGTACAAAGAAAAGATCACAAGGAACTATGTCAGAATTTTTATACTGGCGCTGTTTTCATAGTGGGATTATAAACGAATTTTTTTGGTAGTGGTGAGGCAGAGGCTTGCACATGCTAGTCAAGCACTTTACCAGTGAACTACTCCCTCAGTCCGAAAATGATCGCTTTTTTTTTCTTTTCTGTGTTTAAGTGTTTCTTAATGAATATGTATTACTTTTAGATTAAAGCCTATTTCATACTATGGTTAACTATAATGGATAACTAATTCCATGATCTAAAAGGAAATTCTACTTTGCATCTCGTCTTTGTGTTTTATTGGTAAATACCTAAGGGCTACATGAACACGTGCGTGTGCACACGCACGCACACACACACACACGTATATGTAATGAAAAAACAAGTCTTAGAAAATTTCAAGCCTCTTTTCCTTGGGGGTTTAGGTGAGTGTGTGTGCATCAGAACTGCTACCCAAGGAGTTGAGTCCAATCTCTCTCCCCTACTGTATGACCTCATTGCCATGACTCCTTTTGAATAAAGTCTGCCTTGCCCTCTTAAAAAACAAGCAAAATGGGCCGGGGATTTAGCTCAGTGGTTTTGCCACCTGCTACGCAAGCGCAAGGACCGGAGTTTGATCCCCGGTAGTAAAAAAAAAACAAAAACAAGCAAAAATAGAAACAAACTGGCCGTGGTGGTGCATGCCTATAATCCCAGCACACAGGAGGCCGAGTCAGGATTACAAGTTTCAGGCCACACACAAAACCAAAAATCACACACAGAAACAAAACTTGCTGCCCAATTCCAAGAGCCATCAAGGGTAGAAGGCAGATACCACACTGATAAAATTCCACAAAAAGAGCTTTCTGCCTCCACCTGCTTGAAAAACCATAAGGAGCTCAAGGTGAGCTCACTTATTATCCCAGAATATTAGAGACACCCCATCTCTGGGGAAACCAAAGCCCAGAAAAGGAAAGAATCCAGACTCTGACTCCTGCCCAAGTCCTACCCACTGGCCCACTGGCCCACTGGCCAAGGTCCTCCATGAACATTTGCTGAAGCTGCAGAAATCAGCCACTGTGCTGTGCTCCCTGAAAGCCAGTCAGCCATGAGGTTCTGATTTGTTTTACAAAAGTACAAAAGGTGATTGAAAGATAGCTAGAGTCAGAGGGTGGGGCCCAGACCTGTGGATTCTACACACAGTAAGTACCTCTCCCGAGCTGGCATCTTAACGCGGCAGCCTTGAGGGATCCATCACTACAAAGTTCAACAGGGCTGTTTTACTCCTCAGGAAACACTCACCACTATCAACTAAGAATGGAAGCTGTGACTGCTTGCAGACGCATTTGCTCGCACTTAATGAGTCAATAAATGAGGAAATTGGGCACGGAGAGAAAGGTTAAACAAAGGCTTTTCTGGACCTTGTTCTGGTGTAGAATTCCTAGGGACATCAACCGAACACATAGAAGGGTCTGGGTCTGGCTTTGGCACTGACTCCCTGGGTAATTGGGAAGCACAGGAGCAGGGCTCTCACTCTGGCCCAGAGTTTCAGCAGTGAAAAGATAGGAACATCCCAACTTAGGAGGTGGGTTGGAGTTCTGAGGAACAGCTTTGCCTCAATTTATGCCGGAGTTCTGCCCCCATGGGCCCGGGATTTAGCTCAGAGGTTCCAGCAGCTGCCTTGCAAGTGCAAGGTCCCGAGTTTGATCCCCGGTACCAAAAAAAAAAACAGAGTTCTGCCCCAGGACACTGGGACAAAGGACTCAAGATCAGAAGGGACTTGGATGAGGCACTGAAAATGTCTGTAGGACCCTGGTTTCCAGAATCACTGCCTCCCCAAGGCCAATGTGACAATACACAAGCAGGGTTAAATCCCATGAATTGTTCAGCAAGGTCACCAGCTAAGCCTGTCAAGTCAGTCAGACCCTTGCAACCTCATGGCCAAAGAAACCACACAGGAAGAGCCTGAATCAAGAGGCACTGAGGTCAAATTGGGCAAAGAAAAGGGAGGCAGATTTCAGGGGTTTTTTTGGTACCGGGGATCGAACTCAGGACCTTGTGCTTGCGAGGCAGGTGGCAGTACCACTGAGCTAAATCCCTGGCCCCAGATTTCAGTTTTAACTCACCAGCCTGACCCTTTAGTAGAAAGGGCTCAAGGGTCCACATGGTGAATTAGGATTAGACCTAATTTCAATCATCTGTAATTTACTACCTTGGTGACCTTGTGTAAGCCACCTAAAGTCTTCCTTTCACCAAAATTTATTGGATATCTACAAAGTGCCAGCCATTGGACTAAGTTCTTGGGATATAATACTGGAAAAACATAGGCCTACAGTTATGGAGCCTACAGCTAGAAGGGACTAACAATTAAAATATAAATATTTAATCAAGGAGTGGTGGCACACACCTGTAATCCCAGCACTTTTTGAGGCTGATGCAGGAGGACTGCTAGTTCAAGCCCAGCCTGGGAAACCCATCACCTTAAGGAAGGACCAGCTAAGTCAAGTTTGTTGAGAGCTGTTGATAAGTCCACCAGAATTAGTGTCAGAGACACTCATCCAGAAACAAGGTAAACAGACCACATTAGAAGGGTTTAAAGAGTGAATAAAAGGTGGCTAAAAAGGAGACAGGAACTTTTTGGAAGTTTAGCTGTGAATGGTAAGACAGTAGCTAGAAGGAAAGGTAGGTCAAGACAAGGTCTTAAAATGAAAAATGCTGAAAATGTTAAAGAGAAAAGCCCAGTGGAGATTACAGAAAGAGAAACTTGCTCAAAAGTACACAGCTAATTAAAAGTAGGGAAGAATTTGAAACCAAGTCTGTCTGACTCAAAACTCCTAGCCCTTTCTACTGCTTCAAGTAGTGAAGATGAGTAAGCAGCTAAGCCTGTCCTGATGGTACCTGGGCTCTCTGAGGACCCAGGAGGGAAACTTGGGGCATGGCAACTTGCTCAGAAGATAGGTGTGAGGCAGAATGCATGACCCAATGTAGCACAAAAAATGTGCTACTCCCCAACCTACCCAGTAACTAATACCATGTACAGTGTAAATGGCTGAGATGCCTCCTCTGAGCTCCAACCTACACCACCTTTTCTACTTTTTTCCTAGGCATTTCCCTTTTTTTTCCCCCCAGAAGAGTGTCCCAGAAAACAGGCTCATTTCACAATCCTTAACTTGCATCCCAGCATGACTTTTGGTATGAATGGGAACTATACTGACCGTCACAAGCTTATGATCCCACAGTGACTAGGCTCTATCAAAGGGCCTTGATTCAATGTAAAAAGTTATTCTGGTAGCTCCCTTTTCCATGTGAGGCAAAACAGACCTGATCTACACGAAAAAGTGTAATGTGGGATAGTAAAAAGGAACTGGGAATGCTTATTAATACAATTATAAAACCTCACCATTTCATTTCTAGAAATCCTGAAATGAATTAATCACAAGGCTCTCTTCAGGTCAAACCATTCTCAGAGGTGTGCTGCAGGCCAACAGATAAACCAGATCGAGTCCCTGACCCTGCCTGAGGTCTGGTTGGGGGAACAGCTGAAAAATCAACTATGACTCTCTGAGACAGGAGCTGTGATCTCAGAATGTGTGAGTCTATGAAAAATGACTACAATGGAATCAGTCTTAAAAAAGGAAAGAAATTCTGATACACTGTACAACATGGATGAACCTTAAAGACGCTATGCTAAGTGAAATAAGCCAGCCAAAAATAAACTAATGCTGTATGATTCCTGTCACATGAGATGCCTAGAAAAGTGAATTTCACAAGGACAGAAAGTAGGATGATAGAGGACAGGGTAGGGGGAATGGGGGGTTAGTGCTGATGGATATAGACCTTCAGTTTTGCAAGATAAAAAGAGTTTTGGAGGCTGAAGCCACTGATGGCTACAAAACAATGTAAATGTACCTAATGTCACTGAAGTGTATGCTTAAAAATGGTTAAAATGGTATACTTTGTTATGTATATTTTACTACAATTAAAAAACCAATGACAACCATGCATGGTGGCACATTATAATTCCAGCTACTCAGTAGGCTAAGGCATGAGGACTGCAGGACTGAGGCCAGCCTAGGCAAAAAATAAAAAGGTCTGGGGATGTAGCTCACTATGAGTGCCTACACAGCATGTCTGAGGCCCTGGATTCAATCCCTGGTACTATAAGCACCCCCCCCCCCAAAAAAAAACCCCAAACCAAACCAAACAAAAACAGCCCCAAACCGAAAACAAAAAACCATCACTAATCAATGACCAGGACTACTACAGGAAGTAATGGAGGTTCTAGTAAAGGCTACACCTGATCATACTGTGCACACAGCACATGACTAAAAAATAACCACTGCTTGAATTGGCCAATGAATGCAGGGAAGGCTAGGGTTTCCTGGCTTCCTCAAAGTACTGATCAGATTTTGGCTTCAAGAACAGTGACATTCCTGAAATTCAGTTTGCTATGGTTTGGAAGTGAGGCGTTCCTGAATAGGGGTAAGGCCTACTTGACTAGATTTCATCATAAGTAAAAGAATACTGGAATTTTCAAGGTTGGAAAAGAACTGTAATCCATCCCTCTCTCCCACTCTCTCCCATGCTGGAGGCCCCTCTCCCATATCCTTGCTGCTCTGATCTGCTGGTATCCAAGCTATAGCAGAATACAGAATGTGTGTTACTTGAAAAGCCCGAGATATTTGCTGTAGTAAACAATGAATGTGAATTAACTCCTGGTGAGTCACTCGGTACTACCACAAGCCCTCCCAGTCCTCTTAGGACACTGTCCACTCGTCAGTTATATGCCTGGGGAAACAGCATACCCCTTGTCTAGAGTTAGGGTCAGAAAGGTGGTGACCCTTTGGATAAATAAGTGGCTCCTCTAAAAGGAATTGCCCTTTTCTTTGGTACCGGGGATCAAACTTAGGACCTTGAGCTTGTGAGGCAGGCGGCGTAACCACTGAGCTAAATCCGTGGCCCGGAATCTCCCTTTTCAAGGTAATTTACCAAAGAGGTAGGTCCTCAGTTAAGACAGCAGGACTCAGAAGGCTGGCCTGATTATAGGGGAGGGGGCATATTTCTGTCAGGAACATAGGCCCCCGGGGAGACATTCAAGAGTAGTTTTCTAGATATAGACTCTAGGTGACGGCTACTAAGAGGTAGCTGAAAGACTGGGTCTGGAAGGACTGGAAAGTGGGCAGTCTGGTAAGGCCTATTAACTTCATATTAGCCTGATAGTTTGTTTTTCTGCTATCATCCTCAACCCTTAAATAAAGGCAATGTGACAGATCCTTTTATCCTTGGGCCAGAATATTAATGAATTAGCATGGAGAGAGTGGACTGGTGGGGAGACCAGTGAGATTCCATAAAAGGAAGGAGAAAATGAGGGATCAACAGCTGAGGTTTGAAGGGCCCTCCACCCCAACAAGAAACTCTACCAGGTCTTGGTGAGGCTGAAATTTATCATTATTAGGGGATTATCACTTAGGACTATTAGGGATTATCACTTTTAATCATGAAGCATCTAATAGTTCTCCCTAAGCGCACTGAAAGCTGAGCGTGGTGGTCCACCCCTGTAATCCCAGGTCTCTGGGAGGTGAGGGAGGAGGATCATGACTTTCAGCCCAGCCTGGGCTCCTTTTTTTTTTTTTTTTAAAAGGTCTGGGAATGTAGCTCTGCATGAAGACCCTGGGTTCAATCCCCAGTACCTCCTTCCCCCCAAAAAAGCATGGCAAGAGGTTCCAGCTCAAATTCCATTTGGAGGAGTCTAACGTAATTATTCCATTTCCTGAAGGAGAAGACAACTTGTGGAAACTCTGAGCTCAGAGCCAATTTAACTTAAAAGATGAGGATTCTGCACATTGACTGTTAGTGATCCACCTGAGGGTTAAATTGGTAGCTGAATTCCTCAGACAAAGGACTACTATCTAGAATATATAAAGAACTCAAAAAAATCAGACCCCCCCCAAATTTAAAGACCCAATCCAAAAATGGGTATCTGATATGAATAGACACTTCTCAGATGAAGAAGTAGAAACAGCAGATAAATATATTAAAAAATGTTCAGCATCCACTGGTCATTCATAAAATGCAACCAGAAGATCATCAATACCTACTTTGAGAATGTGTATTCTAATAAGATGGAAAATACAGAAGAAATGGGCAGATTCCTACATACATATGAATTACCAAAACTAAATCAAGAAGATGTAAAAATTCTAAGCAAACCAATATCAGTCAACAAAATTTAAGATGTAATTAAAAACCTACCAACAAAGAAAAGTACAGGCCCTGATGGATTCACTGCTGAATTCTACAAGAAATTTAAAGACCTAATGCCGCTACTAGCTTCTCAAACTCTTTAATAAAATTGAAAAGGAAGCAGTACTCCCAAGTTCATTCCTAGAAGCAAGCATTACCCTGATTCCAAAACCAGAGAAGGATCCAACCAAAAAGGAGAACTGTAGATCAATCTCTCTAATGAACATAGATGCAAAAATCCTCAATAAGATACTGGCAAACAGGGGCCAGGGATTTAGCTCAGTGGTTCTGACACCTGCCTCACAAGCACAAGGTCAAGAGTTTGATCCCTGGTACCAAAAAAAAAGAAAAAAAAAAAGATACTGGCAAACAGAATGCAGCAAATCATCAAGGTTATATTCCATGACCAAGGTGGATACATCCCAAGGATGGTTCAACATATGCAAATCAATACAAGTAACACACTATATTAACAGAGCCAAGGACAAAAACCATATGATTCTCTCGATACAGAAAAAGCGTTTGACAAGATCCAAAACCCATTCATGATAAAAACGCTACAGAAAATTGGTATAGATGGTCTTTATCTCAATCTGATAAAAGCCATCTATGACAAACCAACAGCCAACATCATACTAAATGGACAAAAACTGACAGCTTTCACTCTAAAATCAGGAACAAGACAAGGATGTCCACTATCACCACTCTTGTTCAATGTAGTTCTGGAAGCACTAGCCTGAGCAAGTAGGCAAGAGAAAGAAATAAAAGGAATAAAGGAAGGAAAGAAAGAAGTTAAATTATCATTATTTGCAGATGACATGATACTCTACACAGACGATCCCAAAACTCCACCAAAAGACTTCTAGATTTGATAATCAAATTCAGTGGTGTTGTTGGACACAAAGTCAACAATCAAAAATCAACAGCCTTCCTGTACAGGAGTAACAAATCCACTGAGAGAGAAATTAGAGAAACAACCCCTTTCACAATACCATCCAAAATAATGAAAGACTTAGGAATCAATCGAATGAAGGAAGTAAAAGACTTCTACATTGAAAACTACAGTACTCTGAAAAAGGAGATTGTAGAGGATGTCAGAAAATGGAAAGACATCCTATGCTCTTGGATAGGAAGAACCAATATAGGGAATAAAGGAGGAGGGAGGGAGAAAGGAAGGAAGGGACAAGGAAAAAAAAGTGAAAAAGCTTTTGTACATAGGGAGGGGAGGGGCCTTGAGGGGGAGGATGGGAAAAAAGGGGCGGGATGTACCACGTACAGGTGCAAATTCCCTATGAGTGTTATCATTATATATGCCTAGAATGTACCAATAAATGTTGTGCTATAAAAAAAAAAATCTTCATTTGGCCTAGAAGGCTTTTTTCTTGCCTAGCCTTTATTTCTCCAGACATTTCCACCACATTCTCAGCTATAAAACCACACTAGCCTTAGTTCCTCCAAAACACGTTTGCCCCCATGATAGGACTCTTAGGCATGCTATTATCTCAAACTTCATCCACCTAGCCCCTACTCATTATCTGAGTTAAATCAATAGTCATTTCTTCAAGTAAGCTATCCTTTGAGCCCTGAGAGTCGAGTGTGTCATTGTTATATTAGTTCATAGCATCACAAACCTTTTTCTTCATAATACTTAGTAAAGTTATAATTGTGTTCATCTGTCTGTGTTACTTTAATAGTCATCTCTCACTAGAAGGTAAACTTCATTTGGGAAAGGACAATGTTTATTTTATATTGTAATTCCAGCACACAGCACAGTGCCAAGCCACAAAATTGGCATTTAAAAAGTATTTGCGGGGCCAGGGATTTAGCTCAGTGGTTCCAGCGCCTGCCTCGCAAGCGCAAGGTCCAGAGTTCAATCCCCGGTACCCCCCAAAAAAAAAAACCCCCCAAAAGAAATTGTTGAATAAACATCAACTTCCTTCTGGGTAAAGTGGTTATTTCCTATAATGGCCCTGAAGTTAAAAACTGCAGGCTACATCAGAAACCTGACTTTCTGAATTTTTTTTTTTTCGTACCAGGGATCAAACTCAGGTCCTTGCACTAGTGCAGCAGCCAGCGAAACCACTGAGCTAAATTCCTGGCCCTTGACTTTCTGAATTTTAAGGAAGGAATCATCATGCATACCACCCACATCTTAAAGACTTTATATGGTTTATCTCATCTTAGTGCCTTGGTCTTCCATCACGTGATGCTAGCCGACTGATCCAAAGGTGGCAGGAGCGGAGTACTGAGAGTCCAAGTCAACTCACCCCTATTGTAGACGCCATGTAGTCTGCACACATTTCTGCAAAGTCTCGTTCAAGAACTCCATAGTAGAGGCCATAGAAGAGGAGAGAAATACCAAAGTCCATGGCATCTTCTGGTTTAATCCTGTAAGGGAAGCAGCATGGCCAGTAAGGCCTGCCCTGAGACACATTGTTGGAATACTGCTTTGGGACACACAAGGCAGAGCCTAATGTGGAAAGACTCAAGGGCTTGAGTGAGCGCTCACAAATCACGACCAAATCCAGTCTGCTGTCTGATTTTATGTGGCCAATACACACCTCTGGAGGAAGCTAGTACTGTGAGCTGCAGAGACCCAGCTGGAATGTCACCCCTTCTGTCCTTTATCCCATTCTGCTCCTGGGTCCTGCCACCCATGACTGGTAGCCATGCCTTGCAGCTGCCCAGGGCCTCAGTTCATTATAACCTATGTGCTAGAACTCTGCTACTGGGAACTGCTGGCCAGCAAGGAGTGGGATGTTAGTCCAGAAGCTGACAGATCACTGAGCTTCCTTGCCTCACGCCAGCTGCCCAAGTTGAAATGGCTGAGCCCTCTAAAAGGAGGGAGAGCACGCCAGGGTATGGGTGTCCCTGGAGCAAAGACTGAAAATGATCCTAGTGGCCAAATATCCTCAGCTTGACCCTGCCTTGTGAGAATGTTTCAACTGATGGGCACCAAGCATGAAGTATGCTCCTTGCCTGAGATGTGCCCCTTGGCCCCAGACAAACAGGGCAGAGCAAGGCAGGAGTTTCTTTCTTGGTACACAGGCACCTACACGATATTCTAGAGTTCTGCCTGCTGTCCTACAGCACCTAAAATATTTATCATTTGGACATTTACAGAAAAAGTTGCCAAACATAGGTCTAGAAAAAATAAAAGTAAATATTTACAAACTGATTATCATAAAAATTTAACTTGCATCTACATATGTTCTGTATAATGTCATCAAAATTAAATTCTGGTCCAAGTCTATTTATTAAAAAGAATAAAAATTTTCTCTGTGATATTAGGAGGTTTGTTTTAATAATTCCAAGGACCAAAAATTTTAATCTCGAGTCCATAAATATTATGGAAAATTACTTTAATTAAAATACTTGTACAGAGAATTGTATGTCTTCACTTAAAAGCTGTAATTATATTCAACATAGATAGTTGAATTTGCTCACTGGTCTTGTAATATTTAACCCACTGACTTGTGTGTGTGTGCGTGCGTGCACGCACGTATGTGCGATACTAGGGACTGTACTGAGCTACATCCCCGGCCCCTATTTTTTTGTTTTTTGAGATAGGATCTTTCCAAGTTGTTACACTGCTGGGCTTGAACTTTTGATCCTTCTGCCTCAGCCTCCCAGGGTGGTGGGATTACAGGCATGTGCCAACCATGCCTGGTTTCACTGACATCACTGATCTTACACCAATTAACATAATCAGTAGCAGAAAAATGGTCAAGATTACCAATTCTGTTTTCCTCTTGGAACAGTTTAGTTAAGTAAAAAGAAACTATAGTTACAGAAGAAATATCTTTAAAACAAAATACAGAATCTTGATTTTTATTTATTTTTTAACCGCATAGGTCAGGAAGACACCTGGAAATAACTCTTTTTCTTTTGATGTGTTAAACTCTACACCTCTAAACCTTTGTGGAGCCTGTTTTGTAAAATTTTGTTTGTGTTTGTGTTTTTGTAGTACTGGGAATTGAACCCAGGACCTTTTAAATGAGCTGCATCCCCAGCCCTTTTCACTTTTTATTTTGAGACAGGGTCTCACTAAATTGCTCAGACTGGGCTTGAACTTGTATAAATCTTCCTGCCTCAGCTTCCCAGAGTACTGGGATTACAAGCGTGCACTACCACACCTGGCTGTGGAGCATGTTTATTCTTTCAGCCTGTAGTACCACTGCAAGAAAGGGTTCCATGAGTCTTCCATTCACTATATAAAATAAGAATTATTTTCACTTGTCCTAAAATAAACTCCTTTGATTTCAAAATTATTACTGTCAAAAAAAAAAAAATACTACTGTCTACAAGATAGATTTGGAAGAGGGGTTAGTGGCTTTGCCATTCATGAACTTGATCTTGAATTCTAAATCTCTCTGGCTTCAATACATTGTCCTAGGCTTAGCTCAAGACTCACAGTCCACAGCGACCATTACTTCACCTAGAAATGCACATTTCCACCCTCTTCTGACCTACTGACTCACTGTATCCTCCAGTCTTTTTTTTTTTTTTGGTACCGGGGATCAAACTCTGGAACTTGCATTCCAGTCTTTAAACTCAGAATTCCCTGGCTTCTGCCTCAGTTGAAGATGAGCGGACCTGCAAACTGACAGAGATCTTTCAGAAGGTTTATGACAACATGAAGCAATAGCCAGAATCTCATTCCTAGGGAAGTTCCCTGGGAAGCAACATAGCCAGTGGTATCTACTTTGAAAACAACCTAAGCTCAGCCAATAACTCCCTGGGACTGCTTCCTCAGAAATCTGATAATAGTGGAATGTCAGCCATGTCACAAGCAATACCACCTATATACTAAACACGGCCTGTGATTGGCACACTGCATCTGCCCTGTAACAATCTTGAAACTGATGTTTCTGGGAGGATAGAGCTCCTAGGCCAGGGTGGCTCCCACACCCATCAGTGTGGGATGTGTCAGCTCCTGGACTGCTGTAAAGACTCCTGAAGACGCTGCCCTGCTGTGTTTCCTGCCCTAATCCTTCTAAGTGGATCTGTTGTCAATCACATGGGTTTGACTGTCTATCCCAAGGGTCAGCAAACCTTTTTTGGAAAAGGCCAGACAGAAAATATTTTAGGTTTTGAGACCCAATATGGTCTTTGGTACAACCATTCACCTCCGTTGGTGAGTACAACAGCCACAGACAATGTGTAAATGAATGAGCATGACTGTGTTCCAGTAAAACTTCATTTGGCCCAAAGAGTGTGGTTTGCCAGTTTGAGGTCTACTTGAATATAAGGGCTCTGAGGAAAAGTGGATATTGTAATAAATAGTATACATGATCAAGAAAAATTATTGTTACAATAACGGAACTATGGGTAACTGGTTATAATCATTGTGATGCTTCTTTTGGTTATACTTTACTACTGAAATATAAATTATCAGAAAATATAACCAATCATTTGGAACTTGGACTTTGTAAATATCCAAACATTCCTTGCTCTTTTTCTTCTTAATGTTATTAAAGGCATGGTCTGAATATGCAGCTCAGGCTGGCCTCCTGATCCTTCTGCCTCAGCCTCCTAGGTGGTAGGATTACAGGTGTGTGTCATCACACACAGCACATTCCTTGCTTTCTGCCAGCACAAACCAAGGAGGGCCTGTCATCTTCCACCTCCCCACAGTGCCCAAGCCTTCTCTCCTGTCATATCCCCTTGGTTAATATCCAGGACTTGTGGTAGGAAGAAAGAGGTACATCCTTAACAGGCTTCTTCCCCAAAATGCCCCAAACACAAAAGCAAAGGTACTCACTTGAATAGCAAGTTAAGACCAAAGAGGGTAAACATGACAGCCATGTAGCCAACGATGCCAGTAGCATAGCTGATTTTATATATTAGCAGGAACCATTTATAAACCAACCTGGAGAAAGGAGATAATGTTAGTTAGCTCACACAGAGATCTGGCCTCCGGGTCTTCTGGACCACCAGAATCCCTTGTTCTCACACCAACGGAGACATTAGGCTCTATGCTCAGGACTTACTAATTTCAGCAACTGTCCAAAGTTGGGAGCTTCCCTTATTGCTGGAACATCTTTAGGGAATTAGTGCTTTGTATTTTCATGGTCTTGGACCAAGAGAAGAAAAGAGATCCCTAAAAAGAAATTTCAGCCTTAAAACAAAGGGCACTGCTGACCTCAGAGAGCTATGTCTTCAATTCAGGTTAGTTGGTTGAGGAAGTGAAAACTAATAAACCACAGAACTAAGAACTGATGGGGAAGGGTAGTTGTTCTTGTCAGGAAAAAGAATTCAAGGGAAGATGAATGAGAAGATGGAACAGGTTTTTGTACCTGGGCCTGGTTAGTATGACTACAGCTCCTACCCACAGGCTAATCATGAATGATCTCGTGAATCTGCTTCTGAAATGGGTTTTTTCTCTGTAAGAGACATAAGGAGGAAGGCACTCAAAAAGTACTTCTGAAGTAGATGTATCTGTGTCATGGTGGTAATGGTAGGGAAGTGGAGTGGGGTGATTCATGCTTCTGAAGGATAAGCAGTGTTCCCCAAAACCCAGTGAAGAGCAGTGTGGAATCTGGGTGATTAACTCCAACTACATTCAAGTAGAAAACATGGCTCACTGAATGAACCAGAGTCTTGTAAATGCTACAGGGGTAGGTGCCTGATAATAGAAGCTATTAGTCTATCTGCAATGAGGGTTAATGAGTAGTTTAGCAATTTGCTTGAAGAGTCAGCACACGCCTGCCTGGTTCCTGAGGGCAGACTGGGTTCTGCCAACCCACATGGGTCCCAGGGAGGAAGCCAAGGCTCTCACACCTCCCTGCTGTGGCTAAGCAAGCAGTGATGGCTTCTTGGGCTTGTAGTGTTGTCCTGAAAGGCCACACGTGGCTTCATTATCCAGAGTTTGCACAGATCGTGAGGAAGAGAGACAGACTGGAAAGGACATGGAACTTTAGGTCAATCCTTCATTTTTTTTTTTGGTACCGGGGATCGAACTCAGGTCCTTCTGCTTGCGAGGCAGGTGGCGAAACCACTGAGCTAGATCCCCGGCCCAGTCAATCCTTCATTTAGATTAAGTGAGGTTTTATTTGCTGAGTAACCTCAGGAAAGTGAAGTGTTCTGAGACAAGTTTTCTTCCTTGTAAAACATGAAAACCATGCTGCCTTTTTCACCTAGTACATGCTCATTAAATACTACATGAACAAACGAGGATGCTATGAAAGTGATTTGAAACTATAGCACTACAAATTTTAGTTATTATTTTAAAAACCTTTCATATTATTGATACATGTTTTATGATTTTAGTTAGAAGCTGATACTGTTCCATACTTGGTGACCCCTAATGTTTTTTATTTTTCTTATAACACCCTATATGAGGTAAGCAATTATCCCATTTTTAGGGATATATTACTAAAGGCTCTGAAAAGTGATATTACAGAGCTAATAAGAAATAGGGTAGGACCGGGGATTTAGCTCAGTGGTTCTGCTGCCTGCCTTGCAAGCGCAAGTAACTGAGTTTGATCCCTGGTACCAAAAAAAAAAAAAAAAAGAAAGAAATAGGGTAGGAGTTTCAATTTACATCCATTTGGCTCCAGAGCCTGAATCTTCTATGATGGGCCTAGAGAAGGGCCAGACTTCTGGATCATCGGTTTCAGCTTGTACAATGACACTCAGAGGCCAGAGAAAGGCTTGCAGTGCAGCAAAACATAAGCACAGGAAGAAGAGCAATTTGCAATGTGGAAGACTTTGGGTCAGGTGGCCCCCAGCTCTGGGGCTGGCTGGCTCCCATGCTAGGCATGCCTGGTCCTATCTACACCTCTTACAGCACTTACCAACTGCACTGCACTGGGTGCTTTCTTGGCGATCTCCATGAGGGCAGAGACCATGTCTTATCTAGCTCTATGTCCCCAGCACTCAGCACAGGGCCTGGCACACAGCAGGTGCTTACTGAATGAATGAATGAATGAATGAATGAATGAGAAAATCTCTCCTTTTGTTCTGTCAAGCACGACTTAAATGACCTCACAAGCTGGTTGGGAGGGTGAGAGAGAAATACATTTAGATAAAATACAAAGAATTATATAGGCAGAAGTTCTTCTGTAACCCAAGTAAGAAGTATTATGTATTGGAAAATTGTAAATTTGATGAGATTCATTCATTCAACAAAAATTCAGAGAATAGGCTACTATGTGTCAGACTCTGTGGCAAGGCCTGGAAATAGAGTGACAAATAAAATGGATGTGGTTCCCGACCTCATAGTTAGGTTTAGTGGGGGAGACAGATACTCAAAATAATATTTTGTCATAAATTGTGGTAAGTCCTATGAAGGAAAACTACAAGGCCTTATAAAAGAATATAATGGAAAATCTAATTCAGAGGTCAGAGAAAGGTTCACAGAAGAAAACACTTAAAATGAGACTACAATGATCATCAGGATTTACTTATTTACATTGTTCGTTTTTAATATAGACAGACTTTGATGTAAACCATTAAATGAGCTGTAGGGAAATATTTGGGGTTTTTAGCCTGTGAAAAGGGGAGCTGGTCTCCCGATCAGCTTGTTTTAGAGAGGCCCACAGCAAATAATGTTGGAGGACAAAAACTGCAATTTTTTCCCATCTGAACCCACCTTCCTCCCATGCATTCCAACACATCAGCTTCAAGAAAGTGGCCTCTTCCCCGCTAACTAAACACTTACCTTGGGGTTGTCTGTACTAGAGGTTTTCGTGTGGCTCGGAAGGTGACAAAGGCTGTGACAGCAGAGAAGAAGATCCAGATCACTAGGAACCTCCACCAGTGCAGCTTCACTGTGAAATAGAGGGGAACAACCCACATCTGAAAGAGGGTCACCATCTGAAACACAAACACAGGCACTTCAGCTCTTGCCAGGCCCCCCTGCACTCTACCCACAAGTCCAGAATGTTCCTTGCTTCTATTTCCACCTGATCTTCTCCTATATTTCCAATTTTGAATAAAGATAATTCCACTAGTGATCAAAGTCAGAAACTCCTTCAACTGCCTCTTGCATATATTCTTTGCTTTCATTTGAGCTTGTTATCTCTTGCCTGGCTAACTGCAACAACCTGCTGTCTCCTTGATCAGACTGGAGGGAGGAACAGCAGAGTCACCTCTTACCACTACCCATGCCTTAGGACAACGTATCCCGAGGTGAAATATCCCCTCTCCTCCCTTTATGCCTGACAGAATCATATACAAGACACACACAGCCTCAGCCTCCTTTACAGTCAGAATCAGTCATGACTTCCTAGTCCTCCAACAGCACTTTCTTTTCTACCATTATTAGAACACTCATCCAGAATGAGGCTGAATGCTGGGGGTGGTGGCGCACCCCTGTAAGCCCAGCACTTGGGAGGCTGAGGCAGGAGGATCACCACAAGTTCAAGGCCAGCCTGGATTACATCGTGAGTTTGAGGTCAGCCTGAACTATATAGTGAGACCCTGTCTCAAACAAACAAACAAACAACAAAAAACACCAAAACAGAATGAGGCTGATTTTGAATTCATTCACTTTCTAAATATAAGCTCCTCGAGGTTGGGAACTCAGCTGCATTCATCCATTTCCTTTGCACAAGAAAACATATATAGCAACTAACAGTCCCTCAATAAATTGCACTTGATCTTAGCCAAAAGGCCGAGAAGCAATAGTGCCTCAATAAATTGAAGTAGGTAAATAGAAGGAAAGTAAGACTAAACTGGAGTAAGATTCCCTATCAGAAAAGAACATTTTTGTTTTTAAAGAATACTTATTTTGCTGTCCCTTCCATCAGCACTTTATCACACACTTCGTAGCTGAGATGTTACAGGTGCAGATAACCATTTAATTCTGCAACAGAAGTTTGGAGTAACTGCCAATATTCTCCTCTCCAACCTCTCTTAACTCCCCCCATCACTGGCTTTAGGCAGATATCACTCTTCATAAGTGAATATTAGATGTAAAAAGAAATGTTAAGAACAAAGAAAGATAGTACTTAATGAAGATTTTCTTTTTGATGTCACCAAACAAAATAAGAACATAAAACGATATTAGCCAGGTGCAATGACCCACGTCTGTAGTCCCAGCACTCGGGAGGCTGAGGCAGGAGGAGCACCAGTTCAAGGCCAGCTTGTGATGCATAGTGAGTTCAATGTTAGCCTGAACTACATAGTGAGATCCTGCCTCAAAAAACCAAAAAAGGGGCTAGGGATTTAGCTCAGTGGTTCTGCCACCTGCCTTGCAAGCACAAGGTCCCAAGTTCGATCCCTGGTATCAGAAAAGACAAACAAACAAAATTTAAAAATTAAATAAAAAGAGCAAGAGAAAGGAAAACAGTAGCCAGTATCCTGACATCCCATAGTAGAGAAAACTATTTGCCCCTGTAGACCACTGCTGTCCAAGTGAAATATACTGCAAGTCACATGTGTAATTTTAAACTTTCTAGTAGCTTAGGCAGGCATGGAAGGGTTGAAGGGAGAGCAGGGGAATGGGGAAAAAAATAAGAACCAAGAGAGACTATGTAAAGGTGCAAATTTCCAATGATGAATATCATTATATTGTATACCTAAAAATGTACCAATAAAAATTTTTTAAAAGCCACACTCTCCAATTTAAAAAAAAACTTTCTAGTAGCTAAATTTTAAAAGTATAATATTAATTTTAAGAATATATTTTAACACAATATATCTCAAGTCTCTTCACTTTAATACATACTTTTTTTTTTTTTTTTTTTGGTACCGGGGATTGAACTCGGGTCCTTGCGCTTGCAAGGCAGGCGGTGAAACCAGAGCTAAATCCCCGGCCCACAGTTTTTGTTTTTGTCTTTTGTTGAGACAGGGTCTCACTATGGAGTCCAGGCTGGCCTGGAACGTGCAGCAATCCTCCTGCTGCCTGAGGCTCCCTCGTGCTGGGGTTACAGGCATGCACCACCATGTATGTGCTCTACTACTGAGCTATACTCCCAAGCCCAAAATATTAAAATTATTAATGAGATATTTTCATTTTTTGTACTTTGAAATCTGATGTTTTTCACATTTACAGCACATTTCAAATATTTAATAGCCACATGTAAAAAGGAATTAAGACATGTTATGTACATGTGCCAACTCCACACAAGGAACGTAAACATATGTACTGCAAGCGTCCACTAATAAAAAATTCTTAATTTAAAAATACAAAAGAAGTTAATCAATATTTAGCTTATCTTGATTTATTTTAACATTATGGTCTCACGGTGTATGCATTTTCCTACAAATGACTCACATTTATCCTTCTTTACAGCAGAACAGTGCTCCGTTGTGTGTAAACACCACATTTTCTTTATCCATTTACCTGCTGATGGATACATAGGCCACTTCCAAGATGTAGCTGTTATGAGTCGTGCTGCTATAACATGGGTAGGCATGTATCCCTGTAGTACGGTGCCTTTAACTCTTTAAGGAAGATACTTAGAAGAGGAACACCTAGGTCAAATGGAATTTTTAATTTTTTGAGGAATCTCTCCATACTGATTTTCATAGTGGTTATGCTAGTTTACATTTCCATCAACAATGTAGAGAGGTGCCTTTTATTTTATTTTATTTTTTGGTACTGGGGATCAAACTTGGGACCTTGTGCTTGTGAGGCAGACACCGGAACCACTGAGCTAAATCCCCTGCCTGAAAGGTGCCTTTTCCCCTGAAGCCTCACCAGCATTTATTATTTGATTTCTTAATTTCTGAAGACGGAATATTACTGTTGTTTTATTTGCTTTTTTCTGGTGACCAGAGATGTTGAACATATTTTCATGTATTTATTGGCCATTTCTACTTCTGAGAAGTGCCTATTCATTTCAGTTGCCTGTTATTTGACTGGGTCTTTTATTTTGGGAGATCTGATTTTTCTGAGTTCCTTATATATTCTAGATATTAGTCTTTTGTTAGAGCAGTGGTTGGCAAATTTCTTCCCCGTTCTACATATTGCTTCTTCACACTGTTGGTTATTTCCTTTGATGTGCAGAAGCTTTTTAATTTGTTGATTCTTGATGTTATCTCTTGTGCAATTGGGGTTCTGTTTAGAAGGTCTATGTCTTCAAGAGTTTTACCTATTTTATATTCCACCAGATTAAGTGTTTATTTTAATATCTAGGCCTTTGATCCACTTTGATTTGATTTTGGTGCATGGTGCTAGATATGAATCTAGATTCAATCTGCATGTATGTAGCCAGTTTTCCCAGTGCCATTTGTTAAGGAGGCTAGCTTTCAACCAGCTAAGCTTTTGGGACCTCTGTCAAAAATCAGATTATTTAGTCCTGAGTTTGATCCCTGGTACCAAAAAAAAAGTCAGATCATTTAACATGCCCAGGGTTGTTTCTGGATCTTCTATTCTGTCCCATTGATCCACACGTCTGTCTTTGTGCTGGTACCATGTTGTTTTTATCACTGTAGCTTTGTGATACATCTGAAATCTAGGATTGTGATCCCTCCTACTGTGTTTTTGTTGCCCAGGATTACTAATGCTATTCCAGGTCTCTTCTGGTTCCATATAAATTTTAGGCTAGTTTTTTTCTAGTTCTGTGAGGAATGTTATTGGTAGTTTTATTGGGACTCCATTAAATCCATACTGTCAGTTTAGGGGTATGGCCATTTTGACAATATTGCCTCTGCCCATCCAGAAACAGGAAATCTTTTTATTTTCCAATGTCCTCTTTGATCTCCTTTTTTGAAGATTATAGTTTTCATTACAGAGGTCTTTCACTTCCTTTGTTAGGTTAATTTCTAAGTAATTTTTGAGGCTATTGTGAATGGGCTACATAGTAAGTTCAAGGTAGCCTGAACTACACAGCAAGACCCTTTGTCTCAAAAAAAAGAAAGTGATGAGCTATAGCATTTTCTTTATGATGTTTAATTTGTTTCTTCCAGGAAAAAAATTATCTAAAAACACAAAATAAGGATTTCAGGCCACTTCCAGGTTTCTAGGCACTTTATATTAGGGAGTCTCAAAGGCCAGATTCTATACAGTGTCTAGAAAGGCAGAGGAAGGGGAGGCTGTATGAACAGTTTACCACGTGAAAAAATAGTAAGTTAACAGCTTTGTCTGGTTAATGTCTTTATTTTGGTTTGTTCTTAAATTTTCTGCTATAATGTTTATGGGCATTTTGCTTAGCAAAAAAAGTTTAAACTTTTTTAAGGCAGGTATTTTTAATGCCTAACCTAGCAACGGTGGGACTCTGTCGCCATCTGGCGGCAATGCTTATGTAGACACATTTGGTTCAGCTGATTTATTCAAACACTCTGATGTTTCAGAAAGCACGAAGGGGAAAAACCTTGGCACTAGTGTCTCATCTAGGACTTCGGGGATGTGCCACAAACACAGGAATAACACAGTCCTGAAAAGCACCAAGTACTGACAGGGGTGTTCAATGGAGAGATGTAATAGTGTGGGTAGAAGCTACCAGGAAAGACTTCCTAAAAGCAGTACAACTCTAGATGGTTCTGGAGGCTTGGATTTGGCTAGGTGGGGAGGAAAAACAAAAGCCATTACTCCTTCTTTCCCTGAATCTGCAAATACAGAGCTGAAATTGAAGATGAGACTCAAGCCAACTCACTGATTATTCAGCAAACACTCACTGAGGAACAATCCCAGCTCCTCTGAATAGAAAGTAAGAACTTGCAACATCCGGGCTGGGGATTTAGCTCAGTAGTTTCTCCGCCTGCTGCACAAGCGCAAGGACCCTAGTTTGATCCCCAGTACAAAAAAAAAAAAGAAAAGAATTTGAAACATGCCACTTATCTCCATATAAGTTAAACATTTGAGATGATGATATTAGATACTATCAGTAGGAGTTACTATATATTTAATCAGATTTCCCTTTTGTTTT